GATTTGTTACACACAAACACAACAAGCCACTTGGGTGTGGATATGTTACACACAAACACAACAAGCCACTTGGGTGTGGATATGTTACACACAAACACAACAAGCCACTTGGGTGTGAATAGCTTACACACAAACACAAACTTTATCTGCATGAACCACTAGTTGCCTGTTGTTGTGTATCTTACATTGTTGTTAAAATTTTTTGAATGGTGTGTTCAAAATATGGAAAACAAGTTAAAAGAAATCATCAGCAACTCATTCTGAAAAAATGAAAGATTGGATCGTAGTGCATGATGATAAAGTATTTATGGTAAACACAAATAAATTAATGAAAAATTGGATCATAGTGCATGATGATAAAGTATTTATGGTAAACACAAATAAATTTATGGAAAAATGGATCATAGTGCATGATGATAAAGTATTTATGGTAAACACAAATAAATTAATGAAAAATTGGATCATAGAGCATGAGGCTGAAGTATTTATGGTTAACACATAGAAATTACTGGGTAGACACATGCTACAGTGAAGTGGACAATGGTGATGTCGCAAGTAAGCCAGTCATGAAACGGCATACATTCAAAGACGTTGTTCGTCTATCTTCCAGTTTAACACATTAGGAGTTGAAGCATTAGTTGACTTTTTTTATACTCGATATCTTACGGATCCGTAAAATTACTCCAAACGAATTTAACACTCGAGCCACTAGTGTTTCTTAAGTAATGGTAATTTAGAATCTTCTCAGATGTCCAGCTCTGTCTGGCACAGTGAATGTAGTGGCTGACGGAAACATGATAAGATTTTTTATTTTATTTTATGCAGAAGTTGCTTATAGTTTTACTAATTAAGGAATGTGTATCAGCTTATGTCATACTCAATCTTTCAGCTAAGCAGAGTATAAACAATAATATTTTTATGGTATAAACGTCTTATCTAATTTGAAGAAGCATGTTTGTAATTAATTATAAAAAAGTCATGTTTTTTATACACATGAGTTATGGTTTTTATAGCTAAAGCTACACAGTAGGTTGTCTGCGCTCTTTCCACCGCGGCTAATCTAATCCCAGATTTTAGCATAGTAAGTCCGGAAACTTCCGTTGACCCACCAAGGGACTTTTACAAACATATATTTGCAAATACTTTTGAGTGTGATGTGCTATGCTATAGAAAAATTTAGATACACATACCGTTAAGAATTTGTTCTGCAAAGAGGTTCTTGAACTTATGATTAAGTGCAATTTTTTGTTAACTTACTGTTTTCCGTTTTTGTTTTCTTTTTTACAAGTTTTCCGTTTTTGCTTTGTTGTATTTGTTTGTTTACAAGTAAAGATAAGAATTTCAAATTTTAAACAATTATATTTGGTTACGGAAAATACAGAATGAAATTTTCTGACTGAAATCTTAAAGTTTTCTTTTGAAATATGTAATGAATCCAGGAATTTATAAAGGTATTAGTTCAATTTTAACCGTAGAAAGTATGTTCATATCTTTGGGTTTCCACATTCGTCAGTCAGGATCTTTCCAGAAACCAAAAATATTGGACTGTTTTGTTTTTTCGGTGTTTGTTTCTTTGCTGAATCTTACAAAGCTACACAAGAGCTATCACTGTTAGCCGTTCCTAATTTAAAAAATATAGGCTATAGTAAAGGCAGCTAGACAACACCTTCCACCATCAACTATTGGGCTACTTTGTGAGATCCACAGCTCCAAAAAGGGTGAGTGAGGCAGCGGAACACAAACAATGGGTCCTCAAATGTACAGTCCGACACGCTAACTATCAGGCCATGCTTAGCTCCAAAGAAATGAGAAACTACCTTTGCCAGATCCTTCCTTAATTACATTCGGTTGAAACCTCACTTATAAACTTGAGGCAATGCACGTTTGCTTTTATCTTCGTTCACTTTTACATTAATGTGCTATAAATTACATTTGTAAAACATTTCAAAATTGACTTTTGAAGAATAAAGTTACTTCACTAATAGTTAAATGATTCTATTGTTATAGCTATATTTCGTAAGGTCTGTGTTCAAGATGTATTTATTTTATGGTTTTAGATGCTAGATTTTCCATAAACGTTTGTCAGAATGTTTAAAATGTCAGTTTAGTTAGTTTCATAAACTTAATGAACAATTACATTACCATATACTGCAATGCGTATTTATTTCACGATAAATTCTTTTTTGTTCCTTTTTTTGCATATCTTGGCCACTGTTTTCACAACAAAACACCGTTGGATTTGTTTCATTCAACTACTATGGAACATGTGATTTTGCGAAGTTGAATCCAGTGAATGTTCTATTTTAATGATTCATTAAACCGCACATTATGAAAAACTAAATAAATTACGATTGCTGGGGTCATGTACTTTACGAGCATTATTAGACAATAACTGCTTCTTATTTTTTAACAATTTGTTTACATGATTTTCATTACTATACTTTTAGCTTAAAAAGCATTAAATCTGAAACATGATAATTGCATCGAGGAGTTATTGGAATTCAAAACACAAAATGGTGGAAGTAACTATCTGAACCCCTAATAAAAAGAAATCTGTATTTCTTTACAAAATATCTAGACAGAGAAATATTGAAGAACAGACAATTTTAGTGGTGGATCATTGGCTTCTTAAAATATTTAGACATAAACTGTTAGAAACTTATCTGCTTATTTACATCTTGTAACCATTGTACGTAAATATGATGTCAACAAAAAATATTGATGTTTTCTAGCCAAATAGAAATTTTAGAGAAACTTTAAGTACAGTCTTACTCTCTAACTAATACTATCAGCTCCACTTTCTCATCATAATAACTGCTATTATAT